GTGATCACGCCAAACAAGAAGGCGAACACCGCCGAGCTCTCGTTCTATCGCGACCTCCAGGCGCAGCGCCGAAGGTCCAGGCACTACCTGTACGAAACCACCGTCGGCGCGGGGTTGCCGATCGTGCAGACGTTGCGCGAGCTTATCCAGACAGGCGATCGCATCGAGCGCATCGAAGGGATCTTCTCTGGCACGCTCTCCTACCTGTTCAACATGTACGATGGCGAGAAGGCCTTCTCCGAGATCGTCGCCGAGGCAAAGAAGCTCGGCTACACCGAGCCCGATCCTCGCGATGACCTCTCGGGGATGGACGTGGCGCGAAAGGTCGTGATCCTCGGTCGCGAGATGGGCCTCGAGCTCGAGCTCGACGACGTGAGCGTCGAGGGGCTCGTCCCCGCCGCGCTCGAAGGCGCCTCGGTGGCTGACTTCATGGCAAACCTCTCCTCTTATGATGACGAGATGAAGGCGCGCCATGAAGCCGCCAGCGAAGCAAATCAGGTGTTGCGCTTTGTCGGCAGCGTCAGCGCTGATGGCAAAGCGAGCGTCGCGCTCGGGCAATATCCCATAGATCACCCCTTCGCCCGCATCCAGCTCACTGACAACATCGTCCAGTTCACCACGCGCCGCTACCACAGCAACCCGCTCGTGGTGCAAGGTCCGGGCGCTGGCCCCGATGTCACCGCAGGCGGCGTGTTCGCTGACCTGCTGCGCCTGGCGAGCTCGCTGGGGGTGGCGCGATGAGCAGGCAACGCGCCAAAGCCTTCGCGCCAGCGACGGTGGGGAACATCGCGGTGGGGTTCGACCTGCTCGGGCACGCGCTCGACGCCGTCGGTGATACGGTCACCATCCAAAGACTCGACACACCCGAGGTGGTCATCGCGGATATCCTGAACGCGGATGTCCCACTGCCAATGGACCCCGAGAAGAACACCGCCACGGCAGGGCTCGTGCGCCTGATCGCAGAGAAGAACCTCTCGTTCGGGTTCGAGGTCACCATCGAGAAGGGGATCGCGCTCGGTTCGGGCATGGGCGGCTCTGCGTCATCGGCGGCAGCGAGCATCGTCGCCGCCGAAGCATTACTCGATGAACCACTGAGCGCTCTGGAGCGCTTCGATTATGCGCTGACTGGCGAAGCGGTCGCCTCTGGCGCCGCGCACGGGGACAACCTCGCGCCCGCGCTGTTTGGCGGCATCCAGCTCGTCACGAGCATCGACCCAGTGAGAATCACTCCGATTCCAGCGCCTGAAGGGGTCGTATGCGCGCTCGCGCACCCGCACGCGCGCCTCGATACAAGGAAGGCCCGCGCGGTGCTCGCGCGGGACTTCGACCTGCATGACTTTATCCACCAGTCGGGGTTGCTCGCGGGGTTTCTGGCGGCGTGCTTTAACAACGACCTCGAGATGCTCGAGGCGCACCTGGCCGATATCCTCATCGAGCCTCTGCGCGCGCCACTGATCGTTGGCTTCGAGCAGGTCAAGCAGGCCGCGCTGGCAGAAGGCACGCTCGGTTGCAGCATCTCTGGCGCTGGCCCGAGCGTCTTCGCCTGGTGTCGCGGAGAGGAAGCTGGTCAGCGCACCCTGGACGCGATGAGCGCTGCATTCCGCGACGCGGGGTTCGAGGTCGACGCCTACCTCTCGCCGGTCGATGCACGCGGTGCTCGACTCGTCGACGAGAATCAGTGACCATCTGTGCGCCCCCTTCTCCACGAGCAGATTCAAGGAAGTCGAAGCGATGCATTTCACGAGCACGGCAGATCCGAGCATCCAGGTCAACGCCAGCGAGGCGATGAGCCGTGGCCTCGCGCCAAACGGCAGGCTGTTCGTCCCGAGCGCCTTCCCACAGTTCTCCCCCGAAGACTTCGACGGGCTCGACACCATCGCCGAGATCGGCGCCAGGTTATTGCGTCCATTCTTCGAGGGTGATCCGTTGCAGGATCGCTTGCTCGAGATCTGCGAAGAGGCGTTCGACTTCGACATCCCGCTCGTCGAGCTGACAGAAGACACCTCCGTGCTCGAGCTCTTCCACGGACCCACGGCGGCGTTCAAGGATATCGGCGCGAGGTTCCTGGCGAGCAGCCTGAGCCGTATCAACGAAGGGCACGAGCGCCCGCTGACGATCCTCGTGGCGACCTCGGGTGATACGGGCGGCGCGGTCGCCGCGGCGTTCCACGGCAAACCCAACGTCGAGGTCTTTATCCTCTACCCCAAGGGCCGCGTCAGTCATCGCCAGGAGCGCCAGTTGACCTGTTGGGAAGGCAACATCACCACGTTTGCGGTCAACGGGTTCTTCGACGATTGCCAGAAGATGGTGAAGTCGGCCTTCGCGCATGACTGGTGGAAGGAGAACAAGAGGCTCTCGTCGGCAAACAGCATCAACATCGGGCGCCTCTTGCCGCAGATGGTGTATTACGCGGCGTCCTCGCTGTGGCACTGGAGAAAACATGGCGAGGCGCCGAGTTATATTGTCCCATCGGGCAACGTCGGCAACATGTGCGCGTGCGTCTGGGCCAGGGAGTGCGGGTTGCCCATCGATCAACTGATCCTGGCAACCAACGCCAACGCCACCCTCCACGACTACTTTCAAACAGGTTCCTGGGCGCCTCGCCCCACCGTCGAGACGATCGCCAACGCGATGGATGTGGGCAACCCCTCGAACATGGAGCGGTTGCGGCACCTGTGGCCAGACCTCGAGCAGATGCGCGAACATCTGCGCGTGGAGCAGGTGCTCGATCCTCAAATCAGGACTCAGATCAAGCTCGGCGAGCGAGTCTGGGGAGAGGTATGGTGCCCGCACACAGCGTGCGCAGTGCAGGTAAGAGAAGGGATCGCTGACGAGCGCCACTGGATCATGGTGGCGACCGCGCACCCTGCCAAGTTCGATGTCATCGTCGAACCGCTCGTCGGGCGCCCGGTCGAGGTGCCAGAGGAGCTGGCGAAGTTGCTCGAAAAGCCCAACCTCTCCATCGATATCGACGCGGACCTTGGCGCCCTGACCGATGCCGTCGCGGAGCGCTCGCGCGGCATCCCATCTTGACGCCTACGGGGCCTTGTTATAAGAGCAGTCCAATAATCCAGAATTGTGTCCAAGGAGGCGCGGTTACTGGATATAGCGCGCCTCCCAACCCAATGGATCTTGCATGTCACCCACTATTGCTATCGCCGTACTCGTGATTGGCCTTGTGTTCTTGGTCATCGGCCTTGTCCTCAGCAAGCAAAGCAACGATGTTCGCGTTGCTTATGAAGCCGCCGAAGATGATCTCCAGGCGAAGCGAGAGGAGCTCGAGCAGGAACTCGCCAACGCGAGGTCGGGCAGCAAGAAGAAGTCGACCTCCAAGTCGACTCCGACGAAGGAAAAGGAAGAGAAGGCTCCTGCGGCGGCCGCACCTGTGAACAACGAAGCTGAAGAAGAGCTTCGCAAGCAGGTCTCCGACATCAAGACCAAGCTCGACAAGCAGCGTCAGAAGAACCACGACATCACGCGCGAGCGTGACGAGCTTCGCACCGAGCTCGAGAAGGCGCAGAAGCCAAACAAGGGCGCCATCGATCAGGTCGCGCTCGTGGATCTTCGCATGGAGCTCTCCGAGGCCAAGGCCGAGGTCGAGCAATACAAGCTCAAGGTCGCCGAGCTCGAAAAGGGCGGCAAGAAGAGCAAGAAGAAGAAAAAAGAAGAGCCCCCCGCAGAGGTCGTCGAGGAGAAGAAAGAGGCTCCCGTGGCCGCCGCTCCTGCCGATGGTGAAGCTGTCGATGTCGACGCGATCCACGAGGATTACCGCGACAAGCTCAGGCGCACCGAGGACAAGGCGCGCAAGGAAGAGGAAGAGCTTCGCGACAAGCTCAGGCGGCTCGGACGCGAGGCGGACAACCAGCGCCGCCGCGCAGACAACAACGACAAGGCTTACCGCATCACGCAGCGCGAGCTCGACGCAGCGCGCGAGCACGTCAACCTCCTCAAGGAGCAGCTCAAGCGCGCCAAGTTTGCCTCGGCCACCGCCACTGCTCCTGTAGAGGAAGTGGAGACCGAAGAGGTCGCGCCAGCAGAAGTGACGCAGGCAGCGACGCCAGAGCCCGCGCTCGAGGAAACCTCCGCGCCTGACTCCGAGGCAACCGTCGAGGTCGATCCTTCCGACATGGAAGAAGCCGCCGCTCAGAGCGAGACGGCCGAGGCTCCTGAAGCTGTCGAAGAGGACTCGCAAGAACAGGAACAGGAACAGGAAGAAGAGGCTGAAGAAGCTCCTGCGCAAGCCGAGGCCGCCGAGCCAGAAGAGGCAGCAGAAGAAGCACAGGCTGAAGAGGAAGTCGCTGAGGCCAAAGAGGTTGAAGAGCCTGCTCAGGAAGAAGAGGCTGAAGAAGTCGCCGAGGAAGAGGCGCAGGCCGAGGCAGCCGAGGAAGCTCCTGCCGAGGTCACCGAAGACGCCGAGGTCGCAGAAGAGTCCGAAGAAGCCGTCGAGGAGGCCGCTGAAGAGGTCGCCGAAGCAGCTCCAGAAGAAGAGCCTGAAGGCGCTGCCGCGGAAGAAGAAGAGGAAGAGGAGCCAAAGAAAGTCGCTGACGCTGAACCTGCGGGGCTCGAGGAGTCCTCCTTCATCGACGAAGCGTGGGCAGACATCGACATCGACGACGTGTGATCCTGTGATTTTGCTCGATACGCGAGCGAGAGAAACAAAGAGGGCGCTGGTGCAAACCAGCGCCCTCTTTGTTTCTTGTGCAATTCCAGCACCTTGCAACAAAACGCAAAAAAGTCGCCGCGATTTTCATGATCTCCTGGCCGTTCTGGTTCACACTGCTCTTGGACACGGCACCTCGTCGTTGCTCGCCACCCACTGGGACGAGCCGCAAATCGCGCCGCCGAGAAGTTTCGCGATTATTTTTTTGTGTATGACGATGGTTTAGCTAAGATGTGTCTCACAAGGGACGACATGCACCTACATGTAGGTGCAAGTAGGAAACCCGCTTACAACGCCGCCCGAACAAGGGCCAGTCAAGGAGCGACATCATGGCGACAAACGTTTACACCAACCTCTTTCATGAGCGACGCAGACGCCGCAGCGACAACCCGCTGATCGCGACCCGTTTGCAGCTCGCGCAGGTCATGGAAGACTTCGAACTCGACGCTTGTGTGATCGCCACCGAGGACGGCCGCCTCTTCGCCGCCCCGGAACAGATGCTCCCCGAGGACGCTGACATCCTCGCCTCGATCGCCCCACAGGCGGTCGCGAACCCCGACAGCTTCGCCGTCTTCGAGGCGGTCGCGAGCTGCGCCGGGGCCATCACCCCGAATGACGTGCACGTCCAGGAGTTCTGGGCGTGGGACCAACCGATGATTATCCTCTCGGTGGGACGCCTCGACGAGGTGAGCGAAGCGAGCCTCTACCGCGCCATCCTGGGCATCCGACGCATCGCGCGTCAGACGCTCGAGCGCGCAGCCTGATATACAAACTTCACGCGCAACCACGCTGCAAAAGAAGCCAGCAGCGAGAACGGTAAGAAGAGAACACGATCGACGCGTCGCACGAGATCCTCACAAAACTCAAGGATTTCGAGCACTGTACCCAACAAAGCTCGACGACGCGAAGCATCACAACCACTCTTCTAAACGCCGACATCTCGTTCACCGGCGCGAAACGCCAGCGACCCCAGCGCGAAGAACCCCATACAGCAACCGACCTCTTGTCGCGTGACGCATGCGCCATAAGAGCTCGAACCAAACAGAGCTTTCCACTCTGGCATCTCGACGACCCGCCAGTGAACGCCCCCCGTGCGCGTGCTTGACACACACGCGATACCACGGGGGGTCGTCTTTTCTTGTTGCAGGTTTAGCAGAGCGCGGGAACACGCCCCCGCGCCTGCGGCGCTGCCCCCTGAGGGGGCTTCTTGTTGCAAGTTTAGCAGAGCGCGGAACATGCCCCCCGCGCCTGCGGCGCTGCCCCCCGAAACGGGGGGCGATCACGTGGCTTCTTGAACGTTTGTGTTTTGCGCCAGGGCGCTTCGAGATCTGCGGTGAGCTTCATGAGGGCGCCAAACGCGAACCCCGACGCCCAAATCCTCGCCAAGAAGCCCACCAAACTTGGGGGGCAGCGCCGAAGGCGCGGGGGGCGGGTTCCCATGTTCTGCAAAACCCACAACAAGAAGCCCACCTCTGGGGGGCAGCGCCGAAGGCGCGGGGGGCATGTCCTCGCTTTCTGCTAAACCTCCCGATGGGCTTCCTCTCGCGTTCTGCACGACCTGTAAGTAGCCACCTTGCTTGAAAACAACGCGATTTTTGGAAAACCCACGTTGTTTTTTTGACCGTCTTTCGATCTTTACTAAACTTACAAGTGGGTACAGTGCTTGGGAGATTAAGGAGTAGGGCCATGCTTACCCTCACCAGGAAGGTCGGGGAGTCCATCCGCATCGGAGACGATATCGAGATCGTGGTCAAGGAGATCCGCCGAAACCAGGTCCGTATTGGTATTGTAGCGCCACGTGACGTCGCGATTTATCGCGAGGAAGTTTACGAGGCCATCCAGAGCCAGGACGAGGACGAAGAAGAGACGTCGAGCGACGAGTAATCGTCAGCGACAGGTCTCGAGACACAGATCGACCGCGCCCGAGTATGTACGAGAGAGGCGGTGGTATACGGATGAGTTTGTCTTCATCCCGTGTACCGCCGCCTCTCTCGTTCTTGCGATGTGTGACGCACGTGGGGCACGCGCGTGATGTGGCCTGGGCTCACACGTCGAGCTCTTCGAGCAGCTCGGCGTTGTTCATAATAAAGTCAAAGCGCACGGAGGCATCGCGGCCCATCAGATCGGAGATGACCTGGTCGGTGGCCTCCTTCTCCTCGATGTCTTCCCAGTCGACGGTGACCTTGAGCAGGCGCCGCTTCTCGGGATCGAGCGTGGTGTCCTTGAGCGTCTGCGCCATCATCTCGCCCAGACCTTTGAAGCGCTGGATGTTCATCTTGCGCTGCTTCTTGCGACGCTTGAGCCCGGAGACGCGGCGGTTGAGCTCCTTGTCATCGAGCACCCAGAAGGTCTCGGTGCCAAAGTCGACGCGGTAGAGCGGCGGTTGCGCGATGTAGAGCTTTCCAGCGCGGATCAACTCGGGCAGGTAGCGATAGAAGAAGGTCAGCATCAGAGTCGAGATGTGGTGACCATCGCTGTCAGCATCCATCAACAGGATGACCTTGTCGTAGCGCAGGTTGTCGATCGAGAACGACTCGCCCATGCCGCAACCGAGCGCGTCGACCACATCGCGAAGCTCCTTGTTCGAAGCGATCTTGGAATCACTCGCCTGCTCGGCGTTCAGGACCTTGCCGCGCAATGGGAGGATCGCCTGCGTGCGACGATCGCGCCCCTGCTTGGCGTTGCCGCCAGCGGAGTCACCCTCGACAATGAACAATTCACACTCGGTGGGGATATTGCTCGAGCAATCGGCGAGCTTGCCCGGGAGGTTGAGCCGCCTGCTGACGGCGCGCTTTCGCGAGACCTTCTTTGCCGCGGAGCGCGACGCCGCGCGCGCCTTGGCCGCCATGATGATTCGCCGCGCGATCGCCGCGCCGCTCGTGGAGTTCGTGTAGAGGAACTGCTCGACGGCGTTGCGGAGCGCGTTATTGACCGCGCTTCGCACGCCAGGGTTGTTGAGCTTTGCCTTGGTCTGCCCCTGGAACTGCGGGTCCTTGTGGTAGACGCTGACGATCGCCTTGACCCCCTCGCGGATATCCTCGGGCGTCACCGAGAGGCTCTTTGGCAGGATATCATTGGTGTCGAAGTAGTTCCTGAGCGCCTTGTTCAGGCCATCCTTGAACCCTTGCTCGTGGGTGCCGCCGTTCTCGGTGGGGACGCCGTTTGCAAAGGTCAGGATCTGATCACGCGTGTCCTCGGACCACTGGAGCGCGATCTCGAGGCGAGTGATCTCTTCGTCGAGGTCATCGAGCCGGACGATGATCGGATCGGTGTGGATCGGCGCGGTCTTGGCGAGCTTGAGGACGTTGTCCAAAAAGTCGACGATCCCACCCTCGTGCTTGTACTCGGCGTAGGTGTTGTTGACCTGATCGCGAAAGACAAGCCGCAAGCCCTGGTGCAGGAACGCCTTGATCTCGAGGTTCTCGGCGATCACGGCTGGATCGAACTCGATCTCTTCAAAGATCGTAGCGTCTGGCCGAAAAAAGATCTCGGTGCCCGTGCCGCGCGCCACGCCCACGACCTCGCAGGGGGTCTGCGCGGTGCCACGGCTAAAGGACTGCTGGTGAAGCTTGCCGTCGCGGCGCACCCTGGCGACAAGCTCGTCCGAGAGCGCGTTGACCACCGACGAGCCCACGCCGTGCAGGCCGCCCGAGGTCACGTAGCTCTTCGACTCGAACTTGGCGCCCGCGTGCAACGTCGTCAGGATCAACTCCAGCGCGCTCTTCCCCTCCTCGGGGTGCATGCCGACCGGGATCCCGCGGCCGTTATCGCCCACCGTCATCGAGGTGCCATCCTCGTGCAGGGTGACCTCGATCGTCGTGGCGTATCCGTTGATCCCCTCGTCGACCGCGTTATCGACGATCTCCCAGAGCAAGTGGTGCAACCCCGCCTTGCCCGTGCCGCCGATGTACATGCCGGGGCGTTTGCGCACCGGCTCCAGATCACGAAGGATGGTAATGTCATTGACAGTATAGTTTGTCGCTGCTGCCATCTGGCTCTCCCGTAAATGACTGCTCATTTGTTCACCTTCGTGAAGGTATCAATGGAACCGTTCGCTTGCAATCGAAAAACTTGGACCCGTTCACTTTCAAAAAACCGCATGGTTTCATGAAGTTGCGAGCCCCTCTCCGGGGAGATCCGAGGCGTTATCGATGCCGATCCGATCAAACTGATTTTTCGTGATTGTTCGAAGTGCATGTGCTCGCGCGTCCTTGCGCTGATTGGCTTGTCCCTGGCAAAACTTCATCCTCGCGTGCTCGTCGCGCCTTTGCGCTCAGGGCCGCGGGTCGGATAAAGCAGATCGGTGGCTCGAGGGTGGCGGTTTATGATACCGCTCCTTCTTGCTTCCCCACTGTTTTAGCCCTTTCGCGCCGATTCGACAAACGCATCTTGGAGGTCTTGTGGGAAGATCCCCACTGACCTCCCCTTCCCCCACGCTCACGCGTCGCCACAGCGCGCGCGGATTGACAGCGAACGAGCGCTGGGATAGTCGGAGCGAGACGCCTTAGACCACCATATTCCCCCCGAGGAGCCTCCCATGGATCTCGATCGCGACCAGCTCTCCATCAACGCCATCCGCGTCCTCTCCATGGACGCCGTGCAACAAGCAAACTCCGGTCACCCTGGCGCTCCCATGGGGCTCGCCGCCACCGCCTACACCCTGTGGACGCGGCACCTGAGCTTCGACGCGAAGAACCCCGAGTGGGCAAACCGCGATCGCTTCGTCCTCTCCAATGGCCACGCCTCCATGCTGCTCTACTCGCTGCTGCATCTGTCGGGCTTCGAGGCGATGACGATGGAGCAGATCAAGAACTTCCGACAGTGGGGATCGCTCACACCAGGACACCCCGAAGCAGAGCTCACCCCCGGCGTCGAGGTCACCACCGGCCCGCTCGGCCAGGGATTCGCCACCTCCGTCGGCCTCGCCATCGCCGAAGCACAGCTCGCCGAGCGCTTCGACAACACCATCGATCACTTCACCTATGTGATCTGCTCGGATGGTGATCTTATGGAAGGCGTCTCCCACGAGGCCGCTTCGCTCGCAGGACACCTCGGCCTCGGCAAGCTCGTCGTCCTCTACGATGACAACGCCATCACCATCGATGGCACCACCGACATCAGCTTCACCGAGGATGTCCTCGCCAGGTTCGAAGCCTACGGCTGGCACACCTCGCGCGTGGCCGATGGCAACGACGTCGAAGCGCTCGACGCCGCCATCGAGGTCGCCAAGGAGGAGTCCGACAAGCCAAGCCTCATCGCCGTGCGCACCATCATCGGCTTTGGCTCGCCCAACAAGGCAAACACCTCGTCTTCTCACGGCTCACCGCTCGGTGATGACGAGATCGCGCTCTCGCGCAAGGAGCTCGAGTGGCCCCACGAGGAGCGCTTCTTCATCCCCGAGGAAGCCTACGCCCCCTTCCATGAAGCCTCCGATCGCGGCGCCAAACAACGCGCCGGGTGGGAGAAATCACTCGAAGCCTACGCGTCGAGCAACCCCGATAAAGCAGCCGAACTCACGCGCAGGCTCGCCGGCGAATTGCCAGCAGGTTGGAAAGACAACCTCCCCAAATTCGCACCTGATGCCAAGGGGATGGCCACGCGCGCCTCGGGCGGCAAGGTCGTCGCCGCGCTCTACAAGGCGCTCCCCGAACTGACCGGCGGCAGCGCCGACCTCGCGGGCTCGAACAAGACCCTGCACAAGGACTTCGGGATCTTCGACAGGAACAAGCGCGACGCGCAGAACCTGCACTTTGGCGTGCGCGAGTTCGCCATGGCCGCCGCCGCCAACGGCATCTGCCTTCACGGCGGCTCGCGAGGTTTTGGCGCGACCTTCCTCGTCTTCTCCGATTACATGCGCCCCGCGCTCAGGTTGGCCGCGCTCATGCACGAGCCGCAGCTGATGGTCTTCACACACGACTCGATCGGCCTCGGCGAGGATGGCCCCACGCACCAACCCGTCGAGCACGTCATGTCCTTGCGCATGATGCCAAACTACTGGGTCCTTCGCCCAGGCGACGCCAACGAGGTTCGCGAGTGCTGGGAAGCCGCCATCGAGCGCACCGATGGCCCTAGCGGCTTGGTGCTCACGCGCCAGAACGTCCCCACGTTCGATCGCGACGCGCTCGGCACGCGCGGCGACGCCACGCGCGGAGGTTACATCCTCGCGGAAGCTCCCGACGCCAAGCCACAGGTGATCCTCATCGGCACCGGCTCCGAGGTCTCACTCTGCATGGAGGCATGGGAGCAACTCAACGAGGCAGGCATCTCCACCCGCGTCGTCAGCATCCCTTGCTGGGAGCTGTTCGAGGCACAGGACGCATCCTGGCGCGAGGAGGTCTTGCCCGCAGCAGTCACCGCGCGCGTCTCCGCAGAGGCTGGCGTCACGTTCGGTTGGGAGCGCTACATCGGCGCGAACGGCGTCGCCATCGGCCTCGATCGCTTCGGCGCATCGGCTCCCTACGAGGTCCTCTACGAGCAATTCGGCATCACCACCGACGCCATCGTCGCCGCCGCCAAGAACCTTGTCTGAACTGTGAACCACCGACGGTGGCTCGCAAAAAGAAGCCGCCGGCACATTTTGTTGAACGGAAGCAGTCGTCTGCAACCTCACAACAAAATGTGCCGGCGGCTTCTTTTTGCTCGGCAGCCAGGGTTGGTGTTTTGCGCTGGGGAGACTTGTTGGAGGTTTTGCAGAAAGCGAGGGCATGCCCCCCGCGCCTGCGGCGCTGCCCCCTGAGGGGGCTTCTTGTTGGAGGTCGTGCAGAGCGCGGGAACATGCCCCCGCGCCTGCGGCGCTGCCCCCAGAACGGGGGCGATCACATGGCTTCTTGGACGTTGGTGTTTTGCGCCAGGGCGCTTCGAGAGCTGCAATGAGTTTCATGAAGGCCACCCCATGCAAACCTCGACGCCCAAATCCTCGCCAGGAAGCCCACCAAACTTGGGGGGCAGCGCCGAGCGAAGCGAGGCGCGGGGGGGCATGTCCTCGCGCTCTGCTAAACTTGCAACAAGAAGCCCACCAAACTTGGGGGGCAGCGCCGAGCGAAGCGAGGCGCGGGGGGCATGTCCTCGCTTTCTGCAAAACCCTCAACAAGAAGCCCCCTCAGGGGGCAGCGCCGCAGGCGCGGGGGCTTGTTCTCGAACTCTGCAAAACCCCCAACAAGTCTCCCTGGAGGTGGAATGATTCTCATTGTCGCGGTGCTCGTCTCGATGCATCCTCAGTGACGCATCCGAAACACACCGTAATGGGACACATGAGTCAGGAATCACAGCCTGAGACGAGCATGGAGGGTCTCCCGGAACGCTTCGAGATCCTCGATCGCGTCGGTCAGGGGGGCATGGCGACCGTGTATCTTGCGCGTGACCACACCACCTCGAGCGATGTGGCGCTCAAGGTGCTGCTGCCACACCTCAGGAGTGACCCTGCCGTCGCGCAGCGTTTTCGGCGCGAGGTCTCGGTCGCAAGGCGCGTGGTGCACCCGAACGTGATCCGAATCTATGACCTGCTCGAGGGCGAGGATCTGCTGGCGCTGGTGTTGGAGTATCACCCGGGGATCGACGCCAAGCAGTTGCTTCGGCAAAGCGGCGGCGGGCTCGAATACGAGCTCGCCATGGACCTCGTCGAGCAAGCGCTCGAAGGGCTCATCGCCGCGCATGATGCGGGGATCATCCACCGCGATATCAAACCTCATAACCTGCTCGTGGCAGATGTCGACGGTGGCTCCAGGGTCAAGCTCGCGGACTTTGGCCTGGCGCGCGTCGATGACCTGATCGGCATGACGATGCACACGCGCGCGATCGGGACGCTCGAGTATATGGCGCCCGAGCAATTCGATTCGCACATGATCGATCACCGCGCGGACCTCTACGGCCTGGGCATCACGTTATACGAGCTGCTCTGCGGCGAGTTGCCCTTTCGAGCACACACCCCACTGGCGCTCGCCGAGCTGCACCAACGCGCCAGGAGGCCAAACATTCGCGAGAAGGCGCCTCATGTGCCCGAGCACGTCGCGCTGACGATCCAGCGCGCGATGGCCAGCGATCCGAGCGCGAGGTTCTCCACCGCGCGCGAGATGCTCGCGGCCCTGCGCGGCGAGCAACCCGTCCTGGCGAGGGCCGAAGAGGCGCTCTGTGTGCGGTGCCAGGCCCCCTTGCTTCGGAGGTTGGACACCTGCCTCGAGTGCGGTCACACCAACCAACGCATGATCCGTCGCCCCGGTCAGGGCAACAAATCACTGCTTATTCACGCGGGCAACCGCCGCGCGCTGCTCGACACCGAGCAGGAAGCGCTCGTCGGTTTGCTGCGCGAAGACGAAACCACCGCGCCATACCTCAAGGTCGATTGGAACGTCGGTCAGGTCCCGGCTATTGTCGCCAACCACCTGACCGATGATGACGCCGCGAGGCTCGGTGAGCGTTTGACCGAGCGAGGGCTCCATCACGAGACCCTCGGGACGTCGGCAGCCGACAAGCTCCGCCTGCTCTGGAAGATGCGCCCTCCCCTGCTCAACACCATCGGCGTCTTCGCCATCGGCACGGTCTTCCTGTGCGGCATGGGCGGCTTCTTCATGTTGTTGGATGGGGAATGGGCCGGGGCGTTCAACGCGCTGGCGCCCATGGCGATTTTTACCTTCGTGGTCTTTGTCGCGAGCCTGATCCGCGCCAACTCGAGCATCCTGAAATACAAAAAGACCAGCGGAGAAGAGCTCGAACACGGTCAGGAGTTCGAACATACGCTCTCGATGGGATACCTGCCTGACGAGACCGCCGAGTTGATCCGCAGGCTCTCCGGGCGCCGCACGCGCGAATTGATCAAGAAGATCCTGGGCGTGGCGCTCGAACTTCACGCGAGGCTCGAGGATCACCCTGATGAAACGGGCCTCACCGAACAGGCGCTCGAACATTTGCTCGCGCGCACGACCGAGGTCGCCAGGAACCTCGTCGAGCTCGAGGAGGAGCTAAACAGCATCGACGCGCAGGCGATCCTCGAAGAGATACGCGCGCTCGATGACGCGATCGCCGCCGAAGAGAGCACGCTCGAGGTGGGTGACTTGATCGAGCAAAAGGCCGCGCTCCACGTCACGCTCGGGCGCATCGACGAGGCACAGCGCGAGCTCTCGCTGCAATCGAGCAAGCTGCTCCATATTCACGCCGAGCTCGAGCAGCTCCTGATCGATATCCAGGACATGGATCAAGTGATCTTCTCACAGGAGAACCAGGTCTCGGTCATCCTCCAAGGGCTGGCAGAGCAACTCGACGCCACGCTCGAAGCGGAAGCTGCCGTCGAAGTGGGCGCCTTCCCGGACCTGGGGAGGATGGCGTGAAGAAACCACACACCACGACGCCAGCGCTGCCGGAGCGTTACGAGATCGAGCGTATGCTCGGACAGGGAGGCATGGCTCAGGTCTGGCTCGCCAGGGATCTCGAGGCAGACGCGCAGGTTGCCATCAAGGTCCTCTTCGAACACCTGCGCGAGGACGCGTTGGTCATCGAGCGCTTCCGGCGCGAAATCATCGCCTCGCGCAAGCTCATCAACGCACACGTCATCGAGATCTTCGACCTGATCGAGACCGACGACACCACCGCGCTGGTCATGGAGTATCACCCGGGGCGAGACCTCAAGGAGATCATTCGACGCGACGGCGCGCTCTCGCCGGAGCGCGCTGTGGCGATCACCGCGCAGCTCCTCGAAGGCCTCTCCGCCGCGCACCGAGCGGGGATCATTCACCGTGACATCAAGCCGCAAAACGTCCTCGTGGATCGCGATGATAACGTCAAGATCGTCGACTTCGGGTTGGCGCGCGTCGACGACCTGATCGGCATCACGACGCATACGACGACGCTGGGGACCATCGAGTATATGGCGCCCGAGCAGGTTGGCGCGCTGGTGATCGATGCACGCGCCGACCTGTACGCGCTCGGCGTGATGTTCTACGAGCTGCTCACCGGGAAGCTCCCCTACATGGCCACGACACCGATCGCCATGGCGCGGATGCACCGCGACGATCCGATCCCCAGCGTCCTCGCGATCAAGCCTGACCTCCCCGAGTCCTTCGATCTGATCATCCAGCGCGCGATGGCCAAAAATCCTCAGGATCGATTCAGCACCGCCGAGGAGTTCGCCAAGGCGCTCGCTGGCGAGGTGCTCGAGGCCGAGCTGCCTGTGGCGATCCTGTGCCCTTCTTGCAAGACGCCGCTTCTTGCCTCGTGGGCCTCTTGTATCGCCTGTGGCCACGATCCGAGCGCCTCGCTCTCTCCGGGAAAACACCGCGTCTTTGTCCCCACACCGCCGCTCTTGCTCGCGTCGACCACAGGCAAAACATCCGCGATCGGGGATCAGCAACAACAGAACTTCGACACGATGCTCTCGAACCCGGCGTTCGGGCTCGACCCGAACATGGTCCAGTGGCGTCGAAGGCGCCTGATGCGAAAGCCCCCGTTTGTGGTGGCGGCCGATCTGAGCGAAGCCTCGGCCATGGAGCTCCAGGAGCAGGTCGAAGCGCTCGGTATCCCCGCCGAAGTCAGCGATATGGAGCAATCGATCGAGAAGTTGGGCTTCTACCGCAACTTCCTGGTCAACCGACGCTTGCTGCTCTTTGGCGCAGCGTGGTGGTTTGGCTCGGGATGCATCTGGTGTCCGCTCACGATCTTCCTCGAGCAAGGCGTGAAGATGAGTAACAACGAGGCGATGATCACCTCGTTGGTGGTCTGTGTCCTGCTCGTCTTTATCAGCTATTTGATGGGGTTCACGCGCGGCCTGAAGCCGCTGGCGACCTTGCGTGGCGAGCGCACGCGAGACGAACGCCGCGACTGGGTCCCGGACGAAGCGACGAGAGCCCACGAGGCGTTAAAGAGCAACGGCAGCAAGGCGCTCTATCGTCAGGTGTTGAGCGCGGGACTTTCACTGCGAGAGCGCGCGAGCGAGCTCTCGGCAGCGCCTGCGACGCTCCACGAGCATATCGATTCGCTGCTCTCGGCGGCCACTCGGCGCGCCATGCACATCGGAGAGCTCGAGAAGTTCGTGCATGCGCATCCTCCACATGACCTCTACGAAACGATCCAACGCACCGACGCGCTGATCGAAAAGGAAGAGGATACAAACCGCGTCGCCGAATTGATCGAGACCAAGACTCGCACGGCGTCCTTGCTCGCCACCGTCGACGAGCGCCACCACGAGCTCGCGCATCAGCACCAACGCATGCTCGATGTGCTCACGCGATTGCGCCAGATGGATCGCCAACTCGATGGGGATCACTCACCGCAAGAGCAGGCGCTCGAACAGGTCAGCGTGATCCTCGGGAACCTTGCCGACGAGCTCGACCTCGACAGCGGCGAGCAAGAGGTCGCCAGCGTGCGCCTCGCCGCACAACCCGCGACGGCCTCTCGCTGAAACAGAATACACCAACCCAGGCGCAGCGCTGGCCTGTGAGTGCCCTGTCCTTAACCTCATGCAGTGAGCAGCTCTGCTCGTGCGGCGAGGAGACCGAATCGCAACCTCTACTCGCCGACGCGCATCCCGCATATGCACGCGTG